TCCCTCAAGCACTTGCTGAGGGGGTTGCCACAGGGATAGGTCTTTTCTATTTCTTTATTCTGACCTATAGCTAGTGCCTTGCAGGCAATTTCCATTACACACCTGCATACCTGCACTGTTTCTGCAACAGGGGCTTCCCTTCGCCTTCTCCAGAACCTCTGCAGAGGCTGAAATATGGTCTGTGGTGGAGGATGCCGGGCAGAACGGTTGCTTTCAAAGTAAAACAAACTCATAGAGACCTTCAGTGCTCTGGCTATCTTTCAGATGTAGCTTTGTTTAATCATTCCAGAAGCTAGACTGGAACGTGCAGTGTGCGTTCAGAGCAAACAGGGAAAATGTCTGGGGGAAGAGACTGGCAGAATTTTTTCACAGAGGTGTTCTGCTGTAGGTGCCTTATTTACACCAGCTGAAATGGTTTCATAAAACTATTTATAAATTTATGAGCGTTTTAGCCATCTCTTTTTCCACTGGTTATGTCCCTGAATTTTCCCAGCACTCACCTGGGTCTCACGTTGCACAGTTGCTGTCTGCACAATGAGATTAATTCTGTCTTGGGGATCTGCAGAGGAGTGCTTAAATTTATAATTCAAATGGATACAGCTCCTGTGGCAGAAACTGTGAAGAGGTTCATGAATTTCTAATGAGAAAGGATTCATTCAATGAATATAATTTCCTAAACTGACTAAGTTGTGGCATGGAGCATAGATGAAGCTTAATGTTTAGGTAATTAAAATACGTGCATTCCCCCTAGAACATGTGAGCCCTACCCTAGGCGCCCAGGTTTCCTTTTGGATGCTCTTCTCTACAGTGCTTTTGTATTTCGGGAGCAGAACAGCAACACCTTCAGATAGGTGGAGATGTCCCTTACCTGTTATGTTACATACAGAACAACTGAACTGAAGTTATCACAGGAGGAAAACTCCCTCATGAATTCCAAACCTGCCATTCCAGTCAGGAAATGTGTCTCCGGCTTCTTCCCCATATATTTTGTGCTTTGTACTTTCTTCCCGTATGCGTTTTTCAGGCTTAGCTCATAAATGATTGTGAAACTTTCTCCAAGATTTTTATAAGGAAGATAGTATATAAAACCAAAATCACAATATTTAGAAGTCTGCAGTTACTTGAAAACAAAATGTATCAGAATGATCACATAAATCACACAGTGTACAAAGTAAGCAGAAAAGCTACCTGTGAAGGAAGCCCCTTTCTTGAGTCCTGAAGCGAACAACTTCAGGCATGAAACCTAAGCCACAAATCCTGCTTGTTAAGCTTACAGTTCATGTTTTCTTTCAAAATGGAAGATTTGTAAAAAGCAGTTTGCCAGTTCGGACCTTGGCACCAAGCCTTATCAGTTTGTCTCCACAGTTGCTTTCTGCAGCACCCGCAGTGTAGAAGGGTGGGTGATACAAGGCGGTACCTGGGCAGCACAACGCCTGCGGACCTTCCCTTTCTCCAGCTGCTGGATCACAGCTTCAGCCAGGACCTCGGGGCCTTGTCCTGCAGCCATCCTCTTGATGGCGTTGGCTCTGGCTGAAGGAGGAGACAGGAAGGGTGTAGGACTAAGAACATGGCTTTGAATCTGGGAGAAGAAAATGTTTCTGCGAGTTGAGATTGTTTTACGTTGGCTGTAGGTGACCTGATGTAGGAATCCCTAGTTGAAATTCAACAGGCTTCACTCTACAGGATATTAGCATTACTAATTTTTAACAGCTCCCTCTGGCTTTATTATCAATATTTGAGATTCTGTGCTGCACTAACCTTGGACCTCAAGGGGAGTTGGACAAGCTGGTGCTAAGCCACCATTTGCCCTCCCTCTTATGTGTTCCCTGGGGGTTGGATACAATTTATGAATATCTCAATTTCTCCAGAATCTTCAGATCTCAATTGCTGTGTTTTAGCAGTGTATTGGACGTGTGCAGTATGCACCGGCAGTGTCTGAGTATAGGACGGGTGACTCAGGCAGGGCCCCTTAAATCCAGAAACCATGCAAGTAAATCAGACGCTTTTGGGAAGCACTGAATATAATCACGTCTGCACTTGGGTCAGGTACTTTTCAGATCACTGGGTTTCTTGCACCAACACTGCATAGTGTGTAGGTGGCGTGAATGTCTGGTACACCTCAGACAAGCTTTATGGGCGCATGTGGAGGGCAGTTATCTGGGGCAGCAGACTGCTAGGACAGAAAATGCCTATCACTCTGACGCCTGCTTTGTCTAGACCGGAGTCCTGGGAATGCAGGCTAGGGATGTCTGTTACTGCAGGGGCTGTTAATATAAACCCAAGCTCTCCTCTCTTTAATTTTTAAGATTTGGTTCAGAAGGGTGAAAGATGTACGTTCATGAAACTAATCTTTGAAAATATTTTTTGAAAAGATGTTGTAGCGTGCTTGAGAGCATGCCAATGGTACATTTGCTCAACCTTCTAGAATTAGCCTTTGGTATAAAAAAGGCCCTCATCCTGCTGCATTAAAGTCAACACAACCTGTGGATTTTAATGTGAGGTCCAATGTGAGGTTTAATGGATTTTAACCTAAATAAATAGAATTCCTCAAGACTGATAAAAGTTCTGTGATCTGTGTTACAGATCTATGCCAGAAGTTCAGTTGAGAGTAGTATTTTCCTAAGTATTTTCCTTTGGTTTCTTGTCTAATAGCAATAGGAAAAATATTCTGCTGGAAAGGCAGGTAAGTACATTAATCACAACAGTACAGGACTATCAGGTGTTTTGCATTCCAGCGTTGCAAAGTAGAGCTTTTGAAGAGGGTTGTTCTTGCTTCTGTCCTCAACAGTCATCTTGATTCTATAAAACTGCTCCTGGTCTAACAGGGTGGGCTTGACAGTAAATGAGAAAAAAAAAAGCAAATACAGTCAGCTTTTTTAGGATTTTGTTACATGGAATGCAGCTGGCTATTCAGCTGAATAGTTTTAGGCTGAAAGTAGTAACTTTCCATCTAACTGCAATCTTGGGCTACAACATCAGGAGCAACGGCTCAGGCAAAAGACTTCTATAAGGCCTTGGGAATCCAGAGAGCATCTTGCAAATGATAGATTACAAAAACTAGCATGTTTTTAAAAAGAAACACTTGCAGCAAGCAACTTTTTAAGGCAACAGATAAAGCATCAGAAAGTTGGGATTTAAAGGCATGGTGGGGACACAGTGGATTCTCCTCCACTGGCTATATGAAACTTGAAGATGGGATAGCTGATATAATGCTCATTTTTTTCATCTATGCAGCAGTGTTTGGACAAACGAGGCACGTGTGAATGGGAAGCATTTGGAGCATGGGGCTTGTCTTTACCTCCCTCCTTGCGGACTGCTAGGCGGGGGTGGGAGAGTGCCTGAGGAGGATTCACAGTGATATGCCTGTAGTCTTTTCCAGATGCAAAACTTTCTTGGATTCCATTTTGTCAGAGATAATGGGGAAAGAGAGGGATGCCTGGTGCCAAATAGCTAATTTCACTTTCATGATCTGTGAACGTCTGTGGAATTTTCCTGGTCTAGGTCCAGCTTCTGCTTGACTACAGGAGTCCTGTTGCAGCTGTCAGTGAGTGAACGCGGTTGCCTTTTCATGCTGACTTCCACTCAAGGACTTCAGTTCCTTTCTCATGCTATAAAATCATCAAAAGCACATACACAGACCATGCATGGTCAGGCAAAATCCCCCAGTTGCACAATGACCGTGTGTCAGCCCTGTTTACTAACACGCACATGGCCGTGGGCCATCCTGTGCCCTCCTGGCTGCTGTGGCCAGCAGTGCGAGCCAACTCAGTCGTGTCATGGTGGAGTAAGCTCCTCTCTACTCTAGATCTTGCGGCCTTTCTGCGTGGGCTAATCCAACACCGCTTCGTGGCAGTCAGTGGTAATTTCCGGTTTGTATTAAAAGGCTGCATTTCCAGAAAATTGTGTCTGGTTTTCATTTTTTTTGTGTTAAATCTTAAGAACGCTTTGTCACCCTTTCTTTAAACAAAGGGCATAGGAAGTACAATTTCACAGAGATAAGAGATTTACATGTAGGCCAAGGAATGCGTGAACAAAGAGACCTCCAGTATTGAGAAATAAATCCACATCCTTTTTTTTTTTGAGCGTGTATACTACTGTGGTTGCTTACTCAGCTATGATGGCCTTTTGGTCACAGTACTCGCTGTGCAATAACTTCACTAGGGGTAGGACTGGCTGAGGATAAAATAGCCTAAGTACATTCCCCCATGGCTTCCCACACAGGTCAACCAGCAAAGTGTAGTTCCCAGTACTGACAACTATTAATGTCTTCCTCCATTCTAACTGGAGTTTTCCCACTGACTTCAGCTAGACTCCTTGTTAATAGCAGGTGCCTTTTAGGCAGCTGGCTTGCAATCTTAAATTAGATACCACCAGTGGGACTGCCTCATCTAACTCGAGGCAGCTGAAACCCGTTGGGTGAGTTGTTCTGTAGGAGTTCCTGTCTCTCTCCATTGACTGCAAAGGGAGCCTGGATGGCCAGGTCCTGGAGTAGATGGTTGTATCCTAGATGTTTGAAGGAAGGCGATTTGAATTCTGTCCTGTTGACAAATTTCTTTGCGAGAAACGGGCCTTGCTGAAATGTATCATAATTCTCTTGGGATTTTTAGCTCAGAGAATGCTCTCTTAATGCCAGATTTTCCCTCTATATTCCTCCTGAAGGTAAATTTGGGGAAATTGTACTTGAACTTACCTAACAAATTGTGTGATGATCTAGTGAAAATAACACATTCCTCTTTCTATTATGTTTTGAAGCACTTCTGTCTGGCAATTTTACCTCCTTCTGTACTTGCCAGTGATAAGGATGGAACTAACTGTTTTACTGGAGTATTTCAGAATTTATTGTAAAAGTGTTTCCTTCTGGAGACGTTAATGTTTCCTATTTGAATGGTTTTGAGGTAGCCCTAGGTTCTGTTACCCTGTCTCTTCCTTTTTTGTCTCCTTCGGATTTCTTCTTTCTAGTGTGTGGATATTTCATTAACCTGACATCTGTTCTGTTTTAGGAGAAACCTGATGCCAGCCCCACATCTCTACAGCTGCGATCCCAGATTGAGGTAAGTACTTTGATTTTGATCATCCATTTTTGTTAGTTCATTCTTTAATTTGATATTCTCCATAAATTAGGCAAAGGCTGCTCTTGTGTCTGCTCTCACTACTATCTGTCTTCTCTTGCAGGAGTCACTTGGTCTCAGCAGCACCACGTCAACACCTGACACTGAAAGAAAGTAAGTGAAGGTACAGGAGGTGAGACAGGAGGGAGGGGGAATTCGGTGCATTTCCTTTTTCCTTGGAGTAAATTAATTTTAGATTGTATTGGTGTTTCTCTTGGCCTTTTATTATTTTGGTTTTTAGATCAATGAGGGTTATCTTTTCTCCCATCTATGATCACTTGGGGTGTGCATGCACCAATACGATCAGTAGTCATTTTTGAGGAACATCGCTGATTTGACGTCCTCTGCAAATTAAACCTGCTTAAAAAATAACTTTCAGTGACTAGATCTAAATGCAGGCAAAAAGTGAGGTGAGGGGAAGGGAGAGTTACAAACTTAAATCACTTTCATTTTCCTGTGCACTCCTGGGTTTGTAACTGTGCTTTTGAAGAAGGTGCCAAGGGAATGAAGTGTTTAAAACAGAGTCAAAAGGAGCTTTAATTTTAGCAGTCTGTAATAAAAACCTCTCTGTGAGGACTGAGAGGGTTTCTGTTTACTGTCACTTTCCACTGCAGTGTGCGTGCTTGTTTTCTGCGCCTCCTTCCTTTGATTCCAAGCTCTTGGATCCCTACTGCTAAGGGTAACGTGCAGCACTGCATGAAGACAACTGACACTGTATTTCCAGTTGCCTGCATTTCTGGGGTAGTGCCAGCTGGACTGGTTCAGAGGGACTACAGGAATCCAGTTGTGATGTGATGCGCTTTCATAAGGTTTTTACAGTCCCACATTTGAATATCTTCTAGTGATTCAACACTGGACGGTAATAGGAAGGTTGTAAGAAATTGCCGCCCTTGCTCTTGCTAGTTCAGTAGGAGTGTCAGCCCCAGAGGGAGCTGTGGTGGATGCAGGGTATGGGACTTGTCTGAGCGCCAGCCACGTAGAAGTCAGTAGGGAACAGCTGCTTATGGGCTTCCTGTGGGATCATCTGAAAGCTGGTTCATGCTAAAGATCTTGGAAAGCGATAAATTATCTTTTAGAGGTGCCTTGTCTCTCTTCATCACTCCAGAGAGAAAGCAGTGATGGTTTTCTTGAGGTAGATGCTTATTTTTGAAACAAGACAGATAAGGTGAATTTTACCTTGGGTACCATCACTGCTCCCATGTTACATGCTGTTAACAGAGAAAGCCTAGGAGGCTTAGAGTTTAAAAGTGGTGCTTCAGATACTGAAACATGGAAAAGTTTTCTTTAAGGATACCTCCCTGTCTAACATTTTAATGAAACCCGAAGTGCCAAGTGGATGGGAACATTATGAGAACTGTAATCTGGGAAGTAAGCCTCCAAGATTATCCTATAATCATAATACTTTTCTCTCAGTCTCAAAGCACTTTCCCCATGGGTAAATATCATCATCCCACCTCAGGTAATAATGAGATAAAGATCTCGCAGGAGGACAGCACACAACTGGGAATAAACTCCCCTTACAAGTTCTAGCCAGCTTCCTAAAATGTGTCTCTGTGTGGGTGTTGTACCACAAATAACTGAGTGAGAAGATGATATCTACAAAAACATCTTCTGAGTGACTCTATTCTTAGAGAGCCCATTTACTTCACTGAAAGGAAATTAATCTCATTATCTTAGTTCAGATGGAAGGGACCTGTGATTTTTGTGGACCTTTCAAGTATGTAAGTGTCCTGTTTGAGGATTTGTCTGTCAGTTGAAGGGCATACATGATTAACCTGCTCTGGCACAGGGCAGGTTGTGTCAAATATTTGCGTAATAAGAAACAAAGCAATGTGATGCATGCTAATTGGACAAAGTGTTGAAAATAATAAATGATATCTACTCAATACCATACAAATTATTCAAAACCGAAATTATGCAGGCCTGTGCCTATTAGTGACAGCCTGCCACATCAGTGCTGCTTTCATCCGTCTAGCTCAGAGGGCTGAATTGTCATGGGAATGCTTCTTCCAGGGAGGCAGAGTTTATAAAACTGATCTGCAGGAAAATAGCCACTTCAAGTCCATCCAATACATCTGTATCTGCTACTAGCCTGTTGAATTTGATGGTTTTGGGGGGAGGATGGCATGTTGGCCCTGAAGACTTTTTTGAGTGGGGTTCAGTGTTTAGTTTATGGTGTTCATCTGAATTTGCTGTGTGGGCATGCTACAAGATGGGAAAGTTTTTTTCCTTTGGGGACACTGCTTTTGTGGCCCACTCATTCTGCATGAGAGATCTGGGGTAAACCTTTTACAAAACTATTTTTGTTGTGAGAAGATTCCTGTTTGCCAAATGTGAAACTCAATGCAGATGTGCATTGGTTTCTCATGCTCACAGAAAGATTTGGGGAGCCAAAAGGCAAGATTTGTCCCAAAATAGCCATCCAGATTTCAGGAGCTGAAAAAAATCGGTTGTTTTGAGTACTCTTCCAAAGCCGAAGTAAAAATTATACTTCTGCATACTGAAAAAAACAATTGTTTTCCCAGGGTAAGGTGAGGCGAGTTGTTTCTGGTCTGGTGTTCTGAGCGGGTTGCTTCAGAAGGTAAAATCAGTCCCAAGGAAAAACCCATGCTGGGGTGGGGAGGAGAGAGCAAGCAGCCGGCTGGAACATGGCCGTTCACGGTAGCTCCCTCGCCCAGTGCTGCTGCCTGCACACCCCACAGCTCAACACTACCAAGGTCTGAAGTTTTAAAATAACACACCTGGATGGTTTTCTAATTAGCCAGAGTTGAGAGATTCCAGAGAGAAAGAGGCTTCGAGGGAGCCTGGAAGAAGCTATGTTTGTTTTAACCTGGTTTGGTTTTCCTTTTCTGTGGTGCCCAACTGAAGGGAGAGCCTGACAGGCTCCTGTGTACACTGTGCTGAAACCAGATTAGCCTTGGTGCTCCACATAGGAAAAAATCCTGTTTGTGTGGACAAACAGCATACGTTCGGTCTTGCCTTGAGTCTTACTACCCCTGCTGCCCAGGTCATTATTATTACTGTCTGTTCAAAGCCAGCGTGAAATTAGTCGGCGCCCCTAGTCCAGCGAGTTGCTCAGGAAGTATCTGTGGTGATGTGCTCCAACACGGGAGAGCAGCCACAGTGCCTGGAGGGGGGCAAAAGGGGTTAAACGAGCCTGGAGGCAGGGTGGCCTGTCACTTCAAGTCCTTGTCCCTCCAAAAGGCATTTGGGGGCAATACTACCCTCCAGCCTTGCTGGCAACGCTGTTCCTATTAGTTAGATGAAGCTACAAAAAAGACTGCACACATGAACCTGCTCTGTGCGTTACAGATGCCCTGCCAAAGATGGTTTTCATTTGATTTATTCTGATACAGAGAGAAGAGTCTTTGCTGTAGCAAAGGCCTCTGAGATTTATGTGAATAACAGCAAGGGTACTGATGTGGCCTGAAAAGTAAACAACAGAAAACAAAGTCATGTTTGTTCAAGCTTTGCCTCACAATTGCTCCAGGTTTTTGGCCATACTGGAGTTCCTTCTGTAGATAGAAACAGCTGGGCAGGCTTCCGAGTCATATACTATTCAGCAAATAATGCAAAACATGGGATAAGATGTTTGTAGCTTTCTTCTCTTAATAATAAATTACACTTCCCTCTGCCCTTTCCAAGATTCCCATCTTTTAAACCGCAGTCTTGCTGTCAGTTGTGGCGCTACTGTAACTTTGCAGATTCTCAGTGTGCCTTCAGCAAAGTGGCAACAGCATCTTTAACAGTGATATTACTCATTTTAAACAAAAATCTCCCCAGGACTGCAGGTACTCCTATATAGACACACTGATTTCTGCTTTTGCTAGGAGAATCATCAATGTAACAAATAGGCAGTAAGTGTGTTCTTAGCGGTTACTATTGCTTCTTTGTCCCCATACCCGGTTGATCTGGGGATGTGCTGTATATACAATCCCTATTATTTCCAAGGGATGGCAACACCCCAAGGATGTTTACTCAGGCAGGGGACTGAGCAAGGTTTTCTCATAATTGTAAACAGAGTGTTTAAAACAATGTAATCCAACTCTTAGCCTGTTCCCGGTTTTGAGCATTCAAGTCTCCATGACAGACTGATGAGCTCTGCATGTTTGCCAGGAAATCCAGGTTAAACCCAGTTCCCTGAACTCAGACTTCTGCATCCTGACTCTCATCCTGTTTTTGGAAGAACTGGGGATGTTGCAGAGGGGAAGTTGTGTGTTTTCCCTCTTGGGAATTAGATCTGTTTGCTGTCACTGTTTGCTCCAGCAGCCTCTGGGCAAGTTTCAAATGTGGTGTATCAGAGAGCTGCCAGGAAAGAGAAGGAAGTGGGTGAAAGACCCAAGAGCACTGCATACAGATAGGATGATGCACAGTCACTCCTGTATAGCTCATTTTTTTCTTTGCAGCTGCTAGAGAAAAGAAGGACAAAAAACGACACACAGGATAGCAGTTGTGGATGTATCTGGCATTTCGCAGGCATTCCCACCACCTTTGTGTGGCAGTGGGTGTTAGGACTTGTCACCTCCCATGTGAATCACCTGCTGTTTCTTGAAGTGTACCACTCGAGCACATTCCTGACTAAGTAAATAAATGGTCATACTTCATATTAAGCACCACAATTGATCCTGCTGTACTCCTCAGCCTGCAGCACAGTACAGTTTACTCTTTCTCAGCCCTGTGATCCTCAGGACCTAAGTCCCAGGCTCTGCCAGAGCAGGGAGCTGAGCAGAAACAGACTTGTCAAGCAGGAGGTGCTGGAGAAAAGCACGCGTGCATGTGTGGGGTGCAGGCGGCACAGGGCAGCATTGCTCGGGGGCTTCGCATTCCCCCAGCGTGGGGGAGCTGCTGTGCCTCCGGCAGCTGTGTCCCCAACTCCCTGCCTCAGCTGCTCCCCTGAGTGAACGTCTTTGTAATCCTCTCTGCATGTGCAGGACGCACGTCTTAAATGGAGCTCCTCACACGCTGAGTTCATGCAGTTTGGCCAGATCCCTGATGGCTTGTTGGGAATGTCAGAGGAGGACTTGCAGGCTGCACAAGCGTTACAGCTTTCTCAGAGGTTGTTAGGAGGCGGCCAGTGAGGCCACAACATGGGTGGCTGCTCTCTGTGTGCTGTT